AGAGACCGCTTTCATAATCTGGCATTGAGGTCAAACAATGAGCTTCATTGGAGCTCTTACAAGCGCTTACGCAATGTTGTGACTTTGAAGCTCAGAAAAGAGAAAGAAAGATATTACAACGAACTGTTCCAGGAGACAAGAGGAGATTCCCGTGGGACCTGGAAAAACCTAAAACGGCTACTCGGAAATGGCTCAAAGAGTAGCAGCGCTACTGCTCGTACAGCTAATGAAGCAAAAGACAAGTGTAACACCTTCAATAGCTTCTTTGTCTCTTGTGCCGAAGATTTAAGGTCGATCCACCGATCAACCGCGCGATCCTTTTCCAAATGGCTACCGCAAATTGTCCGCCCAGAAAAATTTAATCTACGAAAGATCACCGTGACGGAAGTTAGAAAGGCTCTTAAAGATTTAAAACCGAAGAAAGCTACAGGTGTTGATGGTATTCCATCTCGTCTACTAAAAGACGGATCAGACGCCCTGGCCTATCCACTATCGCTCATTTTTAATTTAACTATCCAACAAAACGTTATCCCTGCAGAATGGAAAAAAGCGAAGGTGACCCCTTTACATAAATCAGGTTCAAAAGATGACCCAAGAAACTACCGCCCCATATCGGTATTACCAGTGGTATCTAAAGTCCTAGAGCGTTTAATCCACAAGCAGCTTGCAAGTTTTTTTGATGATCATAACTTGCTCTGTAAATTACAGTCCGGTTTTAGAAGAATGCACTCAACTGAGACGGCTGTAACTTATTTCGCCGACGAGATTCTCCTGAATATGGATAAGGGCCTTGTTACTGGTTCTGTGTTTATTGACCTGGCAAAGGCTTTCGACACAGTTGACCATGACATTTTGCTCAGAAAATTAGAGTACTATGGTATATGCGAGGAAAGCCTTCTATGGTTTAAGGACTACTTTACGGGAAGAAAGCAGTTCGTGCAAATTGATTCTCATTCATCTGAAGAGCTTGCTATAACTTCTGGAGTGCCACAAGGGTCCATCCTCGGACCCCTGTTATTCATTGTCTACATTAATGATTTACCACGTTGTGTCAAACACTGTTCTGTAAATATGTACGCTGACGACACAGTTTTATATCTTGCTGGCCCAACAGTAGACAATTTAACTTTTTACTTTAATCAAGATCTTCAATGTCTATCTGAATGGCTAGAAGACAACAATCTTGTTCTCAATGTTTCAAAAACTAAGTGTGTACTATTTACATCTCGAAGGCATAAAGAGCGCGATTGTATTTTAAATCTTAATCTTATCGGAAAGCTCATTTCTTGCGAAACTACTTTTAAATACCTAGGCGTGGTGTTCGACAATTTTATGACTTGGAAGGCTCACGCAGACTATATGTGTAAAAAGGTGGCGTCAAGAGTTAGTATTCTGGGCCGCATTAGAAGTTTCGTCACAAAAGAGGCAGCAATACTTGTTCATAATACCTTAATTCTTCCCTTATTTGATTACTGTGACATTGCCTGGAGTAACCTTTTACAACAAGATATAGATCGACTACAGCGCTTACAAAATAGATCTGCACGGATTATTACACGTTGCTCTCGGTCATCTGAAGCAATAGATCAGCTGCAATGGCCGACTCTTTCCAGTAGACGCTATTACCACAAGGCTAAACTCGTTTTTCTCTGTCTCCACTCATTAGTTCCTAGTTACTTTTCATCATATTTTACCAGATTTTCGAATATTCACAATTATTCCACGAGGCAAAGTCTGAGGCTATCCCTACCAAAAGTAAAACAGAATTTTGGGAGAAGGACCTTTCTTTTTACTGGCGCAGAAATTTTTAATAAACTTCCTTTAAACATTGTGAAGAGTGAAAACATTCAAACGTTCTGTCGCCGAGCAAAACATTTCCTTTTACCGTAATTTTGATAATTTTGATATTTTATTTACTATGTTATGTTTTAATTGTGTTTTAGCTTTGTAGTTTTAGGCTGTTAATGTAGTTGTAAAATCCTAGTCATTATATATACATATATATCTATTCTAGAAATTTGATGTAAATTATTTTCAATACAGGGCCCCTATGGATACCAGCCTTAGAGCTGAATGGGCTACCCTGTGTAAATAAAGTTTGCTCTCTCTCTCTGTTGTCTTGCCGTCTGCCGTGTATCCACCCCTACTTTTGTCTGATATTGGTGAATTAGGTGTAGTAGCTTAGCATAGGCGATGATTGTAACTGTTAACACATTACCATTACCAGTATCAAGCAATAAAGGAAATTCATTGGGTAGACAAACAGTGGAATGCATGGTTACCAAAATACTTACTAACCAAACAAGTGTCACGACGCGCTTGGTAATCGGAATGGTAACTACAATACGGTAACGTACGCTTAATGCGAGCGCTAGGAGCCTGTTGATGCCAAATGCGGTTAGTGTGAGCAGAGAAACTGCACATAAAACCGAAGCCAAGGCCTTGCTGGCTAGCGAAGCGATGCAGTGAACTGGAATATTCTCGTGTAAAGCGGCGATTTTGTGCGGGGCAAAGATAGATTGCTCCAAAAAACTCACACCACAGTCAGTAAGCGCTAAATTGCTAAGTAGTAGATTAGAAGGTTTGTGTAATGGAGATTTTCTCCACACTGCCAAGATGACCAGAATGTTTAGTACACTTGCTGGGAATGCGCAAACAGTGTTTAAAATAATGCTCAAGACGTGTGTAACTCCCGGCCCCGCCGCCCTGTCCCGCCCCGCCGCCCCGTACCGCCCCGCAGCCCCGTACCGCCCCGCAGTCCCGCCGCCACCGCCGCCCGGTAGAACTTCTCAACGGCACTTCGGCTGAAATCCACGTAGAGACGATTCATGGTGAATCCAGAATAGTTTGAATTTACTAAATTTCCAGTAAAGTTCTGGTCGGTTGACGATTGATTTAATCCTTCCATTTTTAAGCTGTAGATGATGCCAGTTCAGTTGACGTGGGTGAAATGACCCGACAGAATATACTGAGAGCCAAACCCAAACTTTGTTAAGCACTCATAATTACCTGAATTCGGTTCTGTGGTTCCTTGTAGAATATGTTCACTGTACTTTTGCCAAACACAGGAAAAGCTCCTGAACGTTTCAGCTTGGATTAGATGAATAGATCCCGAACAATGAAGAGATCTAAGTTTTCTATTTTTACTTCCTACTATTTGTTTAGCTTTACGAGAATACTCGGATAAACTATATCCGCGGCGATTAAGCGGAAATCCTCCTCTCAATGAAATTAATTTTGCACGATTTATCACCAGATAAACAAACGAAAATTAAATCCACAGAAATTTACCCAAACTTAAAAGGAAAGTAAGAATTTATCCATAAAAATCGTTTTGAATTCGTCAACAAGTTTTAATTACTATGCAATAAAGATATCGATGAGCATTCCACATTCAATTTGCACAGGTTTGTTGGCTGAAATGCGGGTTACTTCAAATATCACCTCAGACAAAACCGTGTTTATTTTGTGTTAGTTTTTACCCGTCTGCACTGATACACCTGCTAACTATGTTTTTGTTTGTTTTCTTTCGTGATACGAAAACAAGTCATTTCAGTTGTATTGACATTTACTAGCCCTTCGTATCTAGTTTTAAAACGTAAATCATTTTGAAATCATTTCCTAGAGTTTCCGGGAAAAAAATAATAATAACAGATCAGCCCGCAATTTCACAAAATGGCCCAAAATACAGCACAGAGAATCCTCAATTGATAAACATAAATTTGGAATGGTCAGCGCGTCTCCCAAGTTTCTTTGGTCGAGAGCTCTGTTTATCGACTTTGTTAAGCAGATTGGAGGGGTGAGTAGTGGTAACAAGCCTACTCAGGGGTCCCTTGCAAGCAAATTCCTTCTTCGTGTATTCGTAGGATGGATATGATCTACCAAGAAGAAATGTTATCTAAAGGTAAGAAAATGGCAATAACGAAAAAACTTTTAGATCAAAGAGCAATTTTCAAGTAGTCTCCGAGATGTTTTTTTCAATTTCTTTTCCCAAAGATCGATTGGTCCGAGAAACTCGCTCCATTCTCTCAACGAATCAGACGCAAAAATAAACCAAAAGGGACTTGTTAATCCTTTAAAATCTCAGGAGTGATCAGCATCTAATTTCTCCTCTCAGGGACACTATTGAATGATTCATTGAGTTTATGAGAATAATGGAAACGATCGCTAATCTACGACGCTTTGATTGTGAAACAAATTCTCCTTTTCGGTACCAGAGAATAATGTATAGCGAACAGTATGGAGAATATCGATGCTGATGTTAGGGCGTAGACGTCTGCGTTGGGGGAGAAATTTGATAATATTTACTCTCGTTGGGTCTTAGCGACATTTTCCGATATCGTATACAATATGTCAACACAAACTGGAAAGAAAAAGTATAGAAGCTGTTCTGCATTAGTGACCAGGCCGCACTCTCAAAACCACGATGCGCAGCTATAAAAAAAAACCGTATTATGGCCATATTATCTCAGGAAAGAACATCATTTGAGTCAAGAACTCCTTTTTAAAAAGTGTGCGCAGTCGAATTTTTTGCCCGTTCGAAAAAATTTTTGAGAGCTTAGTTCAGTTTTAAGAACCATAAAAGCGGTCAGTATCGTCATTTCTGGCATCTACACAGCGAAGGTAAGAACTAGTATATGCACGGTTTCCGGAGCATATTTCTCATTTACAGAATTCGCCAGATGCTAATTGTAGTCATCGTCATACCTGTAAGTTAACTTGGAAAAGTTTACAAACACCTCATTCCAGGATCCTTGTGGAGTTTTAGGTTCCACTGGATATCGGCAGATGTAGCCTTCGTACCCTGGAGTTGGCCTAGTGCTGAAATGCAAGCAATGAATGTTTAGTATGATCTGCATAATATCACCGTTTATTATATGGCTGTGTCTCACAAGGACT